GAAAAACCCATTGTAGAAACCAGCAGCCAGAGGTGCAGAGATGTGAAAGCATGGTTTATGTGGAGAACTACAACTATTACAAGCTTGGACTTTTCTCAAAAGCTATGGAAAGACACTGAACGATTTTTTCAGCAGAGGGAAGGTATAAACCCGTTAGCCTTTTAGAAAGCTCACTCAGACAGCGCTGTGCAGAATGAATTGAAGGGGACTAAAAGAAGAGTGGCCCTTGTGTGGATGTCACATTAGCTTGTGGTGGTGGAACGCAGGGCTCCTGTAGCTGATCCTGTTCCAGGGGGCCAGCTGAGGTGGGCATGTGGACTCTGATTCCCACAAAATGCATCTCAGGGTTGTCATGGATGCGGGAAATAAACAAGTTTTCAAACACTTCTCTCTCTGCCAGGAGAGAGAGCATGGCTCTTTCCTCTAGTGGAGAAGGCCCTGAACCCCTCTGTCCAAAGGCTTTTATTGAGAATCATATGCTCAAAGGCATAAGCAAAGATCATCAATCAATGTCAAAAGGCTATGTTTACAGAAAACAAATAGACATCATAGATAACAATTAGAAGAACAAGAGAGATCTGTCTCAGTTCAGGTCAGGGTCTATGAATTATGTAAATCTCCTTCCCATTATGAGCCAGTTATCATAGTTTTTGAGGGAAGAACAAAACATGCTTCAAAGAACTTACTTCTAGGCCTGATTTCCCCCCCAGGAACCACCCAATCCAGTTTAGGGCTATACCTACCTTTAGTATTGTTTCAAGTCTGAGCCAGGCAGGCAGGGCAGATCCTCCAAGAGATAAGGAGACTTATTTCAGATAGAATGAGGACTCCAGCCATATTAAAGTTGAGGGTCTTTGCCCTTTCTCCGTGTCCCCAAGTTCTTCTCTGATGCCCGTGTAGCTGTCCCTGTCTTAGGCTGCCCCTTCCATCGAGGGGTCTTACCCATCATTGGCTAACCAGCCATCCTTCAGAGCCAAGCAGGGTGAGACAGGTTTTGTCTCCTCAGTGGCCTATTTTCCCAAACCCTCCTTGCTCAGCTCCAACCTTGGGACCCTCTCACCTGTGAGTGAGGCTACAGTTCCTGAAACCAGACAGGATACTTCCCAACATCAGCGAGGTGACAGAGCAGAGGGTTTGAACAAGAGCATAGCAGTGCCCCTGAAGACAGATTCTAGATTTGGAGCACAAGGAGTGAGGGATCACCCTCAGGCCTGAGTAACACATTTTTTTGTAAAGACAACCACTAAATGGGGACTAACATATTTCTTTAACTTGCTCAGCATATGCTACCTAATATTTTACATAGTCTTTAGAAAGGAAAACTAGCAGGGGTGGGGTTAAATAAAAAAGAAAATCAAGTGTATTATGGAAATTTATTACTTGTTTTTAAGTTTTAACTTAACTTCATATAGCTCTCCGTGGTCTTTTCTGAAAGACTGTGAAGAACTTTGTGTAAAAGTCCACCTGCAGACAGGTGAATTTTTCAATGGCTCATTTGTTTTTATCTTTTGAATAAAGTTATATCCATTATTAAAATACCTTTAAATGAAAAAAAGTTTATATATTTTACAACACCCAGAAACTATATTGAAATGAGCATATTTTAAGGTTCAAATTGTATTGTAACACTTCTGGAGTCAAACTTAAAGAAATATAGCTTAATATGTTGAGAGTCTGTATGTTACATAGTTTTTAATCTTGAAATTACAAAGAAATTATTTTGAAATGAAAGGAAAAATAATTTATTCTCCTTTATTCACAGATTATTCTCATTTTAATCAGTTGGATACAAAGTATATCCAAATATAAAAGTGCCCACCAAGAAAATGTCTAAGGTAGAAACAATTCATTAATTAATAAAAATGAACCAAAAACATTGACCCTTTGGCTTGGAAAACTATTTGATCCAAACTTCTTAAGTCATGGGGATTCCCAATAATAGTAATTATTTTAGAAATCTTAGAACACTAGAAAAATTGACTTTAATTTTAGGAACAATAAGAAACATTAGTATGACTAGTAAATAATGAACTTAGGGCATTTTCATCCAAGTCATTATTCATAATGACTTTTGAAGCAGGATGAAAATATAAAGAGAAGAAAGATTAGATAAGTTAGGGAATGGTTCTATGGCATTTGCCCACTTTATATTTGTACTAGAAACCATAGAACTAATCAAATGTAGACATCTTAATTAACTTGTAGCAACATACTGTAACTTCAAAATCAATTTTGAGCAGTGAAGCCTTCACTTATAAGCTTAAATTTCATGACCACAGTATCACAGATGTATAATGGGATTATTGATCTAAGGATACTCAAAGCACATACATAAAAGCAAAGTCTTGGTCAGTAAAATTATTACTGGCATGTGTGTGTGTGTGTGTATGTGTGTGTGTGTGTGTGTGTGTGTTTATACTTACTCAAATGTAGGTGTCCTATATCCACCTCTGCTTTATACCCAGTCTCCTCCTAGTAACGGATGACATTATCCTTGGCTTGCTATCATTTTTCCTGCCAGTGAGATGAAAGGAGAATATACACATTTTTGGTAGCTGAGACTATGTCCTTGGCAAGATAGTTATGAATAATCCACAAGACATGTACTCACAATTCAAAATGAATGTTATACTTAACAACTGCTTATGTTCTTTAGAGTTTAACAAAAACAGCACTAGTTTCCTAAGAGCGAAGAACAACAAACATATTTACCTTCTTTATAGCAATCCTTTGACTTTCATTAAATATTGTGCTAAAATATACAATTAATATAATTTTATGGATTTCAGAGTTATGAGTAATCTTTCTCTATCTCTGATCTAATGGGATCATGCAACAGAGACCAAATTAGAAAATACCAGATATGTTAGTCTCTAGTTAAACCACTTGATTTAAAAATTGCTCTTATTTTTATATGAAGTATTCTCTTCCATGGTTATACATAAGTGTAACGAAATACTCAATTTTGGTGAACAATATTTTTTCAAGTGGCCAAGTTAGGTTTATAATGGGAAACAAACCCTTTTGAATGGAACATATACATTCTCAGTCTAAACATTGAATTAATGTGCTTTTTGTTATATGATTTTCTTTCTAACATCAACATTTTAAGAAGTAAAATACTCTGGAGACACTTGGGAAAATGGAATCATAGACAGTGATAAAATCCAAATCTTTCCTTTACTCTCAGATCTGTAACTACAACTTTCACGTTCTGACTTTACTCAGCATTAACATTCATTTCCAAAACAATTTACCCGAGTGAGGAAATGATTAAACATGTTTATGTGCTAAGGGGAAGGAAGTAGTGGAAAGCGGGGTGCTCTGATATAGACGCAGGGATAATTGACACTCTCAAATCCCCAAGAGCAGAGAGGCAAGGAGGCTGCACGTTCAGATGCATTCTCTTGTACGGGAAGAGGTCTTGTCTTCCTCTGACAGAGGAAGCAGGTCCAATGGGGTTAAGTTGTTGAGAGACATGATGTTGAGGGAATTTATACCTGAGAGCCTCTGTTTTCTCTGTAACATCTAGAACAGGGAGAGTTTTAAACAGAAAGAGATGGTTGGGGAGGATGTCTGACCACACAAACAACGAGCTCATTAAGAAGTTGGTTGGTTAAATAAATCTAAAAGGAATATATAAAGGTGATATTATATACGTGCTTTCAATGATCTAAAACTGATTATATGAGGAAATTCTTAGTCTTCCTGTGAGGATTACAAAATAACTTATGAGAACAGATTCTTTCAATGTTCCTAAACATTGTGTACTTCTAATTTTAAAATTATGTATGGCCAGTTCTTCCTCTAATGACCACTCTGCTGCTTCATTTAATATTTCAGAGTAATGTAAGATGCTGAGTAACTGAAATGCAACATATTAAAAGTAAGCTAGCCATTAGTTAAGTGTGATGCAATAAAAAGCTTTTCATATGAAATGATAGAGCATGTATAACTTTGTTAAAATATACTAAAATTCAAAGTATTTGTGAAAAAGTTGGAAGAAAAGTGCTTAATATTTTAATATTAAAACAGACATGAATGGTCAGATTTTAGCTGTATCTCTTTGTGCTCTTTTCCACTGTTCTAAATAAAGCCAGCAGAATCCCTACCCTAGATTTGTGGTTGAAAACCGCTACATCTCAGAATGGCCACATTTCCATTTTGTATGTAAATATTTCCATTCATCTTCCTAAACATTATATTTCTTCTTCCCTCCCCCACCTCCCTCCCTAGTGTCATGGTTTATGCAACAGCTGATGACATCTCTTGTTCTTTTTATGATACACATTAGGTACCACAATTGACCTTGTCATCCCCTAGTTTGTAAACAAGTGTTTGTGCAGGTCAATTGGCTACATTTCATAAGAGGAAGACTAGAATAACATGTTTATTTGTAATGCTGTTCAATTATTTTCTTTGCAAATCTGCTTAAAGGAGGTTTTGAAGATGCAGAAGTCACGTAATGTGTCCAGTTACCGCGGAACTGCAATGTATTTTTTTCTTTATTTAATCATTATTGTATTTTTTCCCATTACCATTTAGTCCCCTTAGACCCCCATCCTCCAAGCAATCACCACACCATTGTTCCTGTCCAGGGCAGGGGGAGGGGTGAAGGGATTGATCAAAAAAAAAAAAAAAAAGGAAAAAGGATTCACATCGCACTTTAAATGCTTCTAGCAGCAACACCTTGAGCTTTCTAAATGGGACTGATGTGATAGATTTGAAGGTATTTGAAGAAGCAGAGGTGCTGGGATAACAAAGATTCTTTTATAAAGGAAAAAAATATCAGAATCTTACTGCATATGCCTAATGTTCTTCAAACGAGAATAAGAAGAAAAGATCTCTCATGTACTTCCAACTGAAAATTTTCATTTTCCTTGACATACAAAACATGAACTTATTTCAACATAGCAAGGAGAACCTTATAGAATAGCACAGTTTTAATTGGTCATTTAAGTTCAAATGCTTATGTTAATTGAATTGATTTTCCCTTTTAGGGACCTATGGGGCCTCCAGGACAAAAGGTAGAGTATAAACAATGCTGTGAAAGTATCGGTAACTATGCTCCCATTACCAAATGACTAAGCCTGAGAGGTGAATGAAATTAGCTACTGTAAGCCATGCTGAAATGATCTGGTTTATGCAGTCTGCTTTATAAAATTACAACCATATAATGTGAGTCATTAGATTGCTAATCAATTCCATTATAGAAAATCCAATAAATTCAGAGCAGACTCTTTTTGAGCTGTCTGCCAAACTTGTAGGTTATTGAGTTTTTAATTCAAATACTGATAAAATGTGACAAAACTTAGAATGTGAAAGTTCATACAACATTGCAAATTAAATGCATGGCCTTGTTCAAATATCTGATTCTCAAGTGACCATATAACCGACTGGAATAAAGGATGAACTTGTTGCTTGGTGACTGTATTCAGCTGGCCCACTAGTGTCTTCCTTTGCCGAGGTAATCTGAAAAATGACTTCCTGGTTATCACTTCAATGTTATATGTAGTTATCAGAATTGACCGTTATTTTCTGATGGAGAGGGTCTAGAATTTCTAAAATTATATCAATACTGCAGTAATGGCAATATAAATGGCAAGTAGATGGCCCTTTGCCAGCAAAGTGTCACTAAGTCCCCATTCCCCATTACACTTCCCACCCCACAAGGGGGAACAGAGGATATTTAACCTGTAGAAAACTAAAGAAAACAATTGTATTGCAACAGGTGGAAAAGTGATTATCTTTATCTTTGGAATCCATCAAAGATAGAGACTTTTTATCCCTGAGCATTGGGCATGTGGCATCTGTTGAAACATAATCCTACAAACCAAGTAGAAGCCAGTGAGCTGTGAGACGACTTGTGTATAGGAGGAACACTTTGTCCTCCACAATAATGTCTCTATTAAGCATGGTGTGAAATTGTAAAGCTACCCTAATCCACATGCAACCGGGATAAAATTACTGCCTCAGGCTCCGGGAAGTGCTTTAATGACCCACTCAAACATAACCCCTGAAAGCACTAAGGAACTGGCCGTCTCAATTTGTTTTGCATATAATGACTATATTTTTAATCAACTTGTTTTTAGGGCAGTTGTAGGTTTATAAGGACTATTTTTTTAACTTTTTCCACTAATAGTAAGAAATTTAATATCATATCTACTAAGAAAAAGCTGTTTTCTAGTGGTAGGCATAGAATAAGTACATTTTCTTTAAAAATGGTTTCTCCAGAGCCGACACGGGAAGTGTATGAAGGGAAATGACATCACTAGTTGGAAACATTTGTTAATGTTACTATATCCGGCTCCTGGTCATAGATTTTCCTCAGGTAATAGTTAGCTTGCTTATTCTCAGCTCACTCCACCTGTGTCCACCCCCTAGTATTCACCCCAGTGTGTGCGCAAGTGTCCAAGCATGTGTGTGCACACACGCACACTTAATATTTCATGTACAGAAGTCGTGTTGTTCCTAGTCAGTGTGTAACATTCGTAACATCTTTTCCAGTCCACCTTGCAAGACATATTCACACTTGTGTGGCTCAAATGTCCTCCCTGAACATCCGGGGGGAAATGCTGCTGATTACAACAAATTTGAGTTTACAACATGGGTCACTTATTTGACTAATTGTGGAATAAGTGGTGGTTATTTTAATTACCTTTTGTTTTATGGTATTTAAACTCATGAAATTCAAGAGTTGCTGCTACTGCTAGACTTTTTCCAGATACAACTAAGCCTAACAGTTCCCTAACAGCACCCAAATTTAGAGCCATGTGGCCTTGTGATAGCCATAGATCTCAATTTATGATGTGACTTTCTTTACAATGTTACTACAGTTAAGTGGATATTTAGAAATATGGTTAATTTTAACTCCATAGTTTCTGCAAGCATAATCATATGTTTGAACACAGTGGATAAGAACTGAAAAACAGCCTCCCAGATATGTTTTAGCAAGGTTAAGTTGTGGCTTACATAACTAATACAATAGAAATTTAGAACAGAGAAATTTTGTGATTGTGATAGCAGTTTAATCATGTGTCTCCTTAGGGTTTTGTTGGAGCACATGGAATTCCAGGGATGAATGGGCAAAAGGTAAGTACTAGAGACTATACTTTTTTTGATCATTTGGAGATGACTAAAATCACAAAATTATTCTAGTCTATAATTTTAATAGTAAGTGTAAGTGCTTATAAAAACTCTATGAATACTTGTGAAATATAGGAAAATGATGGTGCCAGAGGTTGAATTAGTTAATTTTTATTAACTAATATTAAATATATAAAGATATATTAAATAGAAACTCAGAAAATTTTTCACTTTATTTTGATAATTTATATAAGAGATGCAATTATATCTTTTTCATAAATATATATGAAGTAGGGAAAATGCTAGGTTTAACATAAATTGCGATAAAATGCACTGTAGTTATTCCTGTCATTACAAAAGCAACATGTATTATTTTTCATTAACAAGTTATTCTTTCTAGAAATCTATTGAAATCTGATCCAGTAACAAGCTCTTTTTACTGTTAAGCAAAATTGGGAGTTAAGTAGACTTGTCAAGCTCTTGGTAGTACACTTTCATTGTACTGTTAATAATGAGGGCAGGGGATAAAGTAAAACACACACACACACACACACACAGCTCTACATAGACACATCTATGTACATATATACTTTTATCCCTACAATGTACTTACTAGTTGGAAAAGCATCTAGCTTTATCCCACAGCCAGGTCTGGCATTCTGTGTCCCCCAACATTCCTGACTGGCTCTTTGATCTGGAACCTCAACAGAGACCAGGGACGCTGTGGCGGCAGCTACCAAAGCCGCCAGCTGGGCCAGTGTGCTAAGAGCCAGGGAGCTGAGCTAGGGACTTTCCTGTCTCCATCAGAGGTTTTGGACTGGCTCTGTGAAATCCTGTGATCCATCAGCTTGTCTTCCCAGAAGATTTTAAATCCATGCACTCTGGATTAAATTCTGAAATCATACAGAACCCAGCCCTTGTGGACAGAATAGACCTCCTTATGATCTTCTTCAACTCATCTTTTCTTCTCTAATAATATAAAAACAACCATTTAAAATCTCCTAAAGAGACAGTGGAATTTTGGCCAAGTCTGATTCTCTGGCCTTAGTTTCCTCATCTGTGCACCAAAAAAAAAAAAAAAAGACAATAGCAAAACCTATTTAATAGGGTCAGTGCGAGGATTACATGAGTAAACAGACATAAAGCTCTCATGACAGTAATGTAACTATTAAACTTTTCCTTCATTTCGTTTGAGTGAAATTCTGGAAATGTAATTGATCTGTGTTTGAAAAGAAGCTCTCTGTTTCCAGAATTACTCAGTTACCAAGTGAAATTAACGTTCTTCAACCAAGGTTCAGGGTACCTTGTAGTCCACCAACCGAACACCGCACACTCGTCAGTGGTGAACTGCCCCTGCCACTGCTCTGTTCTCTGTTTGGTAAAATGCATATCCATTTGTTTCGCAAATCCTGGTAAAGAGGGAAGATGACCTTTCCATTGAGAACACTGCACACCAAGGAGGAAAACATATCCAAAAATTCAGAAGTGCGTTCATTTGAAGATAGATTTGAAAATTACATAACTCAGGATAGTATTTAAAAAGGACAAAACATGGATATAGCATAAACATTGTTTTTACCACTGGTGAAAAGCAAAACTTGTACTTAAGGTTAGTGTTTTCCTTTTTCTTCTTTGTTTCTTTTCTTTTTTCAAATTTGAGACAATCATGAAAATTTATAGAAGCCTTTAACCTGAAACAAAACAACTTTAAAGCTGTCACATATATGCTTATGAAGACTGCATATTCTTTATTTTTGCAAAGGAAATATGCAATTTCCTTAGCAAGAGAAAGGAATGTGACATTTTCTTGTCCTAGTCACCAAGTTTAAATTATATTTTAAGGAAATAGTTAATATTTGCAGTTTTATGTCTTGTTATACATCTTTGTGGCATTTTAAAGTGTTTTCTGTAAAACCTAGGGAAACTAAATGATTTCACACTTATATGAAGGTAACAGCAAAATGTAGTTTAAAATTGTTTTTCCTACTCTGCAGAACTTAAAACTGGTGTGGGATTTCTGTTAATCCTAGTCATTATCTAATGTTTGTAATATCTGGTATGTCATCTTTAGGAAAATAAAGTGCAAAAAATGAGTCACCTTCACTGAAACAGCAGGTCATTTAGATCGTGAAAACAAAGTTGGAAATCAAGTAATAGTTCTATACTTAAAGCATATGAAATATGTCTTGGATCTCTAGAATTTGCTTCTCTAAGAAGATAGCTTACAATGACATAAATTTTTTAAAAATGCATCTCAGTGTCCTTAAACTTTCTTGAGAAAACATCTTTTCCGCATTACAATTTTATTCTTTCCAACTATATACTTTTAATGTTTAGAAAATAGTTTTCAGCCAATGGTTAAGGAAAGATATAATTTCTAAACCATCAGTGAGGTGATTGCTGAGGGGAGGGAGGTATAATGGGACTAAATGGTAATGGAAAAAATATATAATAAAGATTATATATTAAAAATTTTTTAAAAGTAAACAAAAATAATACAAAATAAAAGCTTCGGCATAAAGAAAAAGAAGTATGGCAGATAATAACTAGAAAATAAAATAATTTTTCTCCTATAAAAAAGAAAGAAAAGTAAACTACTTTAAGAAAATGTTTTGTGTGTTTTCTATGAGAACATTTTCTATTCATTCAGATCAACAAAATTGGTGATTGGCTTTGACTAATCAATTTGGTGGTGACATTTTTTTTTTACTATATATTTTCTTACTACTTTCTTTTAAATTTTCGTCATCCTGATTGCCAATCTGAATATTTCTTATTTTGGAATGGTCTTCCCAATTCTTCAGATCATATTAGGAAAGAAGACTCATGCAAACAGCAGCATGGCAGTAAATTCCATTCTAGCTCTTCCTGGTGGCACCATCTGCAAACGGCTCCTCAGCAGGCCCTGTGAGCGGCGGGAGGCTGTCGGGGCCCAGGGCAGAGCGTGAACTCTGCGGGCGGAGGGAGAGGCGCGGAATGTTTCTAAGGCTTGAATGTAAAACACAAATACAGACTTTGCAGTATTAATTAGGTGACATCTCTAAAGTGAACATAATACAATAGGTGCTCAATAATTATTATCAAGTATCTATAAAAACAGTATCACACTTCAAGAGTTTCCGCAAATGAGCTTTAGGCTTACTCTCAAGTAGGGAGCAGAAGCCAGCTGACTCCGTGATAGGGAGAAAATGAATATGCAAAATTACACATAAATATAGTATATAAAATATTTAATATCTAAATATAAATATTAAATGTTTCTTCGTCCCCTCCCTGGCCTCCCCCAATCCCTGTCATACACACATGCCCCATTCTAGGGGGCTGGGATGTAAGTACTATTGATACGGGAAAGAGAAAGACCCGTCTCATAGCATCGGAAAGCTCAGCCACAAGCTGGGGGTAATGTCAGAGCGCCGTCCTGGAGCTGGGATACTCTGTGATCTTTCACTTCACCTTTGCAGCCTTTGAAAGGCCCTTTTCCTCTCCGGGTCAAGTGGCTTCATCTGTAAAATGTGAGGCAGGGGCTGTACTAATTTATCTCTAGGTGCCTAAGTGATACTGTATCTATGAAAGCTCAGGCATGTCTCATTCCCAATTCAGCCAGACTCATATCTTTGTTGCCCGTTCTGAAAGTTGTTTCCATAATTTGGATTTGTTTCTAGCAAATAGCTGAAGCAGTTAGAACAGAGTTAATGCCAGTCTTACCTAAAAATATGAAGTGTTATTGTCTTCTTCTCTATTATGTTGGACACAAAGAATCTTGTAATTGTCACGAATAGATCTTGCTGGCATAGGTATAATTAACATTTTATTTGTACTCCATGATTCCTTGTTTCTCTCTCTCTCTCCCCCCCCCACACACACAGAGAAATGTCTGAATATTTGCCAATTAAACCCTATGTCTCATATATACTGTAGAAGTATATGGGCTTTTAAAAATAATTTTGTGGTAGGCCTTTTTATAACCGAAGTGTCCTTTGACAAAAAGTTGATAATATATGTTACAACTTTTAAAATGTCAACCCTTAATAGGTGTAATTAGAACCCTATATTTTTCTACTCTTTCAACATTTTCACATTAATTAGCATGCATAGAATAAATCATCATAATGACAATTTATTTGAATAGTGATTGGTTCTCAAGATTGAGCAAATGTCATAGAAGAGGAGGCCTGGGCAGGGAGATAGGGTACTGTACAAGTCTAGTTTCCACACCTGTTAGTTCCCATCATTGTTTCTTTGTTACTATGAAAATAATATTAAAGATTTTCAAAATTAAAAACAAATTATTTTTATCTAAGCAGGCTAGAATTTTTCCGAGGCCCCAGAATTATAGGAATTGTTACCAAAGCAAAGAGAAATATCAGGGGATCTTGTTTCATGTATTTCTCAAGTGTTTCCTAGAATTTATTATTTTTAAGACTTCAAAATAAAATATAAGCTAAATAATTGATATTCGCATATCATCTATGAATCTATTCCAGATAGCAATGAGATTTTCAGTCATATTAAATTTTAATTAGTTTCTGGTATTTAGAGTTCCTTTTCATCTCTTATCCACGGGTCTCACAGTTCTTCACTGACATTCATCTTCACAGCATACTTCTAATGGCGTTTTTATTGTACGTACATTTAGATAGCAGATAAATTGAAGCTGTCAGACGTCCAAAGGTCAAGTTGTTTATTCAAGTCTATACAGCAAGCTATGCAATGAGCTCAATATTTTTTGTTCTTGAATTACTTACTATAACCACTAAATACATTCTTTTCTTTGGCTACCTTGACTCTATCATTAAACAGTCTAAATTAAATTCCTGAAGGATTTGAATATGTTATAGTTTGATTTGTTTTCTGGTTAGCTTAAAATTTTCCTGTAACAGACCTACTGTGATCTACTACCCAATGTATTTATGACTTTTCAATTGTAGGCTTTAAGTAAAGATATTTAGAGTTAAATGAAGTGATGGATTTCTGATTCCAGATTAATTAAATAGTTCAGGGAAAGC